TAGTAACAAGAAGCTATTAGGAACAAGTGCATCGCTTCTAGTAACAAACAATTTGGATGGCCACCTTGGTGCTGAGGCGGGAGCGGACCCCCAAGGCAGTCGGTGCCCACCTGTGCCGAAAGATGTCCCATCGCCTTCCAAGATATTTTTTAATATAGCATATTGGGTAGCATTGAGTTTTTTGGCCACTGCAGCCCAACCCGTGTCAGCGCTAGCGCAAAGCTCAATATTGAAAAGTGCACTTGGTTCCACCCGCAAGGGGATCGCTGTTACCTGATGCGGGATACCTAAGCCTATGTCACGCAGTGTAGCCAGGAGGGCACAACTGTCAGAAACCAACCGCCCAACCGCCTGATCCACAAATTGGTTCAATGTCAAGTCAGCATCAATCAACGCGCCTAGAACTGACATTGCTGACACATGTTCGGGCTTGGCATCACCCACTACCTCCAGTTCTTCGTCACTGGGCACCTGTGTGCCAAGAGCCATGAAGCTGGCCCGTTTCCGCCCGCCAGCAAACCTGTGCCGCCACATGTCGGTGAAGGATGTTAGGCCGGCGCACACCCGCCGTAACCCAAAGCAGGTAGATTGGAAGGCAAAAACATCGTCAATAAATTGAACCAAAAGGAGATTGTGTGGGGAGAGAATGTCAATGCAAAGCATTGCTTCAGAGGCTGTTGCTTCTGCAGGAATGGCAGCTGCGCACTCCCTTGCTAACAAACCATTGGCTGGCGCAGACGCATAAACCACATGCTGCAGGATCTCTGGGCGAGGCGGAGACGTAGAAGCTAGGCGGCCAGCGGGGTTAAACCCTTGGAGCATTAAAGGCGACGCTCCCACTGCCATTCCCACTGCACGAGATTGAACTTCTTCCAACAGGCCTCTGGTCAAAGCAGTACAGTAAATAAATGCACTGCTCGGCGTTCTCCTTGGACAGTCTCGCTACCGTGTGGGAACAAGCCAATAAGTTTGCCTCTCTCGGCATCACGTGGCGTTCGTCATGGTGAGCCGAACAGAGCCCGTTCTTCAGTGGATGTGGATCGACCAAGTTGATGCGCAAAATTCTGATGCATGGAATGATTCAGAATCGTATTGATGAAGGGGGCATCAAAACCCTGAGCTGCCTGATATGGTCCAACGAGATCCAACGAGTTGTGCGCAACTGTTGGCAGAGCTTGTGCCAAGGCCCCGCCTATGGCCGAATGGCTGAGTTCTCCACGGAAAGCTGAGTCACACGATAGAGGTAGACTAAATGAAGAACTTCAGCAGTTGCTTGCTGGAAACAGAGGTATATAGTATATACTACTGTGTTCAGTCACGATCGGACCATCAATCCTTGTGAGATTCACCACCGCAAGACCTTTCAGAAAACGCAAGACCTCATTGAAGGCACTATCTAAGATGGGATTGATCTGCAAATGCCATCTTTTCCAACCCTTCGACCGGCCCTTGGGGCCTAAACAGTCTAAGTACGGATGTTAAATTCCCACACAATCCCTAGGGCTCCAACCACCTCCTGACAAGGTGGTTAGGGTGGGTCTGGGGGGTTTAACGACCTGAGGATAGGGTTGGAGCCCTAGGGAATGTTAACTTCTGGAACGAATGTCATACGATTTCTTGTTTGACTGACCCCTCATCAATTGAGACAAAAGAAAGCTATAGATGGAGGTACAGTCTTCTGATCATTCATTGATATGAAGGTGCAGGATGCAGGGAATCGCGATCCGCGTCCCTCCCTTTTTGCTCATATCAGGTGCTTCCAGGTGCGACTAGTCCTCCCAACGAGGGAGGAGCCCGGAGAACATGACTTGAACATGCCGCTTCCACGTTCCACCGAGTCGGCGCCCCGCAACGCCACCACCCCACCTCCTCCTGGTCCCTCACCGGCGGTTTCATTCTTGTCAGCCCCTGGCGGCAGGGGACTTGATTTGTTGAAGGTGAGAAAGGTGGAAAGCCCATGCACAAAGCCAAACATACATACAAGTCCGTGACGGCAAGTGGAGGCCCTCTCAAATGAGAGGAAAGCATACCTGGAAACCGTTGCCCAAACTCAGGGTGCTTGAGAGGATTCTCTGGCCAAGTCCCAGCCTCAGCACCTACCACGCGCCGGGGAAAAAAAGAAAAACATAACACGGTGCAAGGCCTTGCGATTATTCAGCTCATTCACATAGCCTGCACAGCGAAGGTGTGGATCGCTGTGGTACCATATGCTAAGTTGGCTGAGGCATCCAATGCTAGCAAACCTTGATATGACACCAGTGCAACTCACTGGATGAGCCAACGCAACTGAGCTCACAATAAAGCCTCATCCATCCATGGAAGCCTCAAAAGTGTCTGGTCCTATTCTTTGTACAGAGATTGAGTCAACTCATGGTGGGCATCCAGACGAAGTCTGGCAATGGCAACTTGTTTTCAGCATCTTCCCGATACAACATATAGCAGCTAGCAACCCTATAGATATTGAAAAGCGTTCATTCATTGTGCATACACTCCTTTAACATAAACTTCTGTGGAAAAGGGCAGGTCACAGTCCATGGATCATGATGGATCATGGAGGAGTGGCCTGTTTGTGTGGGCAATTGGTGAAGGGTCACCGAAAGGAAATGGTTGCAAAGAGCAGAGACTTCAAACCATGTGCAAATAGCCTGGGTCCAGTACAGGACATGCTCTCAAACTGAACCAGCATGGGATACCCCACAGGTTTGGATCAGTACCCACCTGGCTTTTAAGTGTTTTTGTTGTCAGTATATTACCTTGTGCACCTTGCCTTGCAACAATATATTATAGTATACATACAAACCATTCGTGATTGTGCATGCATATATATATATATATACCCTCAAGGTCTTCCTTCATTTTTAAAATGAAGGACGTGACTCGAGCATTTCTCAAAGGAAACCGTGATTTCGCTCTGTGACAGGAGGTGGATCTGAGGTCTTTCCGGGCTCAATAACAGCCTGATCACCGGTAGTGTCCAAACACATCATCACTTGTATGCATGGATGCGTCATGATAATCGATGTACATCGATATCAACATGTGCGTGCCTATATCATGCATGCATGTCTTCCTAGTCTTTTGTATATCTCACTTGCGCCAATCATGGCGATGGTGGCCTCCTTGCCTTCCCAAGCGTGTGCAACTTGACGGAAACAGGTGGATGGAACTATAGGAGATATGATGAGATATGACATTCACTGTCATACAGTGATAAAACCCTGAATTTTGGTCGCTTGGGTGGTACTCAGGGGCACCTTGACAGGATCTTGGTGCACCAGTTCTTTGTGAGAGATAGGTGTATTAACTGTTATAAAATGTTGGCCCAGGTAAAAGATGATCTTCAATGAAGCGAGCATTGCGTCAAAGCGCAGCACTCGGCTTCATGCGATCATCAAAAAGCTCACCTAATGATCGATCGACCGGATCACCCAGGATTGTTGGAAGAAGCCTTGGAGGAAGACCATTTTCCTGCTGGTGCGCATTCCCTCCACACACAGTCAGAGTTTCTGTATCTGTGGTATTCTATCTGGCTAATTCAAACAAGATCTAACTAATCATTATTCAAGTCGACGTACATGTCAAGGGTCCCCGGATGGCTTTGCAGGGGCTCAAATAAGGTAGGTTGTCAGATCTGTCGCTCTTGCCGCTTTTTGCTGCAATGCGATCATCTGCGCAGCAGATTGCGCTCCTGAAGGAGAGCGTGTGAGCAAATCAGGTCTTCAATCACTGTTGTTGACTATGCATTTTGCATCGTGTGCTGCATGCATGCTGCATACACCTGATATCGTGTGTTCCAGACCTTCTTTGAAGATCTTCTAACCGATGCAGATTATGTGGCAAAGCGACGGAAAGTTTTGCAGTCTCGAATGAAACCCAACGCACTGAGGGAGAGCAAGGTGGGCAATGGTCTGGTGTGCATTGATGCATATGTATGCATGATGTGTGTCATACAAGTTTGAACTACATGTTGATCCATCAATTTTACACATGCATGTGGTGTGGACTAAACAATCCTCAGGTGCCACGGTGGGAGTTCCTTTCGAGATTTGACGACAGCGACAAACCGTCCGAGAGTATTAAGGAAAGCGAGGCCAGCGTCAGTTGTCTGGGATTTGTGATGTGACTGCTTTGTTTCCAACAGAAAATCAAATCATCAGGTAGAAGAACAGGACAATGCGTGCTACCTTGTTGAGTATTTTGCCACTTTTGCCGATCAACTGCCAGTTGACACAGAATTGAAGGACTGCTCTAATTCGCTATATTTTATGTGTATGTATGTGCGCATGCACTGTCATGAATTTGCCCACAACTTAATATTGCATTCCAGGAGTCCCTCACATGGGCCTCCATGCGGTTCAATCTCAACCCGCGTCTTCGTGGCCGACCCCAGCATTTAGCCAAGAACTTATAATGCCGTCTATGCGTGCATATTAACAACAGAGTCCATATCTATCGATTGCAGGCCTGGGCAGAGCAGGAAAGTGCAATTCAAAGGGCATTCTTTTCTTACATCATGGTTCGTTTCCAAGCCAACTACAAATCGAGGCCTGACCTTTGTCAGAGTCATATATTATAAGTTTTGTTGTTGCATTGTAGAAGTGCTTGGAGGTCCGAGAAATCAAAAATGCACATCCTGAAGGAAATCATCCGTGCCAAGTTGAAGGTGGCGTGCTTTTTAGGTACCTAGCTAGGTAGCCTAGGTGGATCAACTTGTTGCAACAGCCATTCGTAGACTGCCTGCAGGCAACAAACCAATTGACGGCGCAAGGAAAGAAAAAGGCCACCCGTGGCCGCAGTGCATCCCAAGTCACTACCTTAATTGATATAAGCTAGTAGGGGCTGGTTCTGCACATGCTGCATTTTAAAGTATAATTATGCATTTGTGCCCTAGGTCTTCGAGAGATCAACCGCAGAAGGCTAGCCATGTGTGTGCTGTTTATGTTGGGAATGAACTGCTGGTGAAATAGTAATATAATGTGTATGTGCGCAGTGGCAGGTCAAGAGTTTGAACAGGAGGTGGAGGAGCAGGAAGGTAAGTTAGATCAAATGGAGGAAGGAGAGGAGGAACCAATAGAACATGAGGAGGCTGAGGAGGAATGTGCTCATGGTGTTGATGGGAGTGCTGATGAGACACAGGGCAGGGCAACACATCAGCCTGGACAATCACTGAACATCGATGAGGTAGATACACTACCGCAATTCCTGGAGAACGATTCCCAGCTTCCTGAGGAGCAACAGGAGCACCCACAAGACAGCCAATTGGAGATTGAGGAGCAACACGAGCACCCACACGACAGCCAATTGGAGATTGAGGAGCAACAGGAGCA